TATAGCTTACTTAGATACATCGATGAATATTAAAAATAAAATATTTTGACCTATATCGATTAATATTAAAAACAAAATATCTCGACATATATCGATTAACCTATGTCATGCATTATTAGTGATGAATGAATGAAAAATAGAAGAATTAATACTAAACATCTTTGACATGTATATATGTATATATGGATCACAAATTAAAGAAACAAAAGAAGTTATTAGCATTAAGTAAACGAGTTACTAGGTCAAACATGGTCAAACTTTTAATTTGAATCACATTAATATTTACTAAATAATATAAATGTAATCCGTTAACACTTTTGTAATACAAATAAAGAATACACTAACATAATACTATATGTAACGACTCTGCCAGTCGTTTTGAGTATTACAGACCCGTTTCCCTATTTACTGCTCAATTTATGCCTTACAATTGATTTATGACTTACCGGGTTAGTTAGTTCGGGTTCAGAAAGAATTCGAAGTGAAATGAGACACTTAGCCTTATAATTAAAAATTTTAAGTTAGAAAAGTGACCGGATGTAGACTTATGTGTAAACGACTTCAGATTTGAATTTTGATGATTTCAATAGCTCCGTATGGTGCTTTTGAACTTAGGAGCGTGTCCGAAAAAATATTTGGAGGTCCGTAGTGGAATTAGGCTTGAAATGGCGAAAGTTGAATTCTTGAAAAGTTTGAACGGGGGTTGACTTTTTGATATCGGGGTCGAAATCCGATTTTAAAAATTGAAATACCTCTGTTATGTCATTTATGACTTGTGTGCAAAATTTGAGGTCAATCACACTTGATTTGATAGGTTCCGACGTCACTTGTAGAAATTAGAAATTTCAAAGTTCATTAGGCTTGTATTGTGGTATGATTCATGGTTTTAGCGTTGTTTGAGTTGATTTGAGGATTCGACTAAGTTCGTATGATATTTTAGAACTTGGTGGTATATTTGGTTGAGGTCCCGGGGGCCTCGGATGAGTTTCGGATGGTTAACTGATCGAATTCGGACTTAAGACCACTGCTGGACATTTTGCTTATGGTATTTTCACACCCGCGGAGGTCTGATCGCAGGTGCGAAGTCGCATGTGCGCACCAGCCACCGTAGAAGCGACCAGACATGAAGAGGAGAAGTAGACGCACGTGCGAAGCAATTTCCGCACCCGCGAGGTCGCAGGTGCGAAAAGGAACGCGTAGAAGCGGAGGGAACCTTTTGGGGGATCGCAGATGCAGACATTTAGTCGCACCTGCGAGACTACAGATGCGAATAAGCTGGTCGCAGGTGCGACGGGGCCTGGACAGAATAAAATTAGAGGAGTTCCGAGCTTTTGTCATTTTTGGGCATTTCAAGCTCGGGTTGGGCGATTTTGAGCGAGGCATGGGAGAACTTGAGGTAAGTCCCTTGTTATCATTTCACGGGAGAACTTGAATTAATTCCCTTATGATCATTTCTACTCCATATTATTGAATTATCATCAAATAATCCGACTAGATTACATGATTTTGAGGTGTAAATCGGGGGTTTAAAAATAAGATTTGATGATTTGGAGGTCGAGTTGATGTCGGATTTTGGTAAAATTAGTATGATTAGACTCGTGGTTGAATGAGCTTTCGGATTTTATAACTTTTGTCGGTTTCCGAGACGTGGGCCTCACAGACGATTTTTGAGTTAAATTTCGGATTCATATAGAAAAATTATATTTTCATATGTAATTAATTCTAATAAATTTTATTGATTGAAACGAATTATTTGTGGTTAGATTCGAGACATTCGGAGGCCAATTTGCAAGGCAAAGGCATAACAAAGTATAGAATTTTACGTTTTGAGGTAAGTAACAATTATAAATCTGGTCCTGAGGGTATAAAACCCCGGATTTTGGTATCATGTGATTACTTTGGAGGTGATGCACATGCTAGGTGACGGACGTGTGGGTGTGCACCGAGGGGATTGTGACTTGGTCCGTCCCGTGAAAAAACTGTAAAGTTGAATAACTTGTTGTTAGCTATGTGCTCTCTATGTGTTGCGGAAATTTGACTGTAAGTCACATTAGAAACCATGTTTAGGCTATATATTGTTACTGTTGGGACCCACAGAGGTCGTGCTCATGTTGAACTATCTGCTTAATTGTTATTTTGTACTCAGTCACAGTTTACTTATTTATTTTATCGCAGTCTCTATTGTTCATTATTGATGCATCATATCATTGTTGTTTGGGTTGATTTCATGATTATTGAGAGCTTGAGAGACTAGAGAGATTTATGACTGAGTGAGGCCGAGGGCCTGATTGTGAGATATTATATTATAGCACGTGAGTTATCCGTGCGGGATATTATAGCACGCGAGTTGTCCGTGCGGGATATTATAGCACGTGAGTTGTCCGTGCGGGATATTATAGCGCGTGAGTTGTCCGTGCGGGATATTATAGCACGTGAGTTGTCCATGCAGCACTTGAGTTATCAGTACAGATTATAGCGCTTGGGCTGTAGGAGCCCCTCCGGAGTCTGTACACCCTAGTGAGCGTGGATACCCATTAAGTGTGAGTGCTGAGGGCTGAGAGCCGAGTGGTTGAGCTGTTGTGATGAGTCGAGTGACTGTTGCCCTGAGAGGCTGTACTTGCTTTTCATTTGTTGTTGCATTTAGTTGCTATATGTCATTGTTGTTAAATTCTCTGAAAGATTCTATATCCGGATTACATGAACATGAATTGTATAAAATTGATTTGACTTAAACTGCTAGATTTGAAAGCATGCCTATTCTTTGATGGAATTACTGAAAGTGAACTATAATTGTGTAGCTCGTCACTATCTTCAATTCCTTATTTATT